TTTTTTTTTCTAATTTTACAAATATTTTTCCGTCGCAACAAAATATAATCATGTGATCCTAACATATATAATCATGTAATAAATAATTGTCCCAATGTCCTCGGGACATAAAATAATAGGACATGTCCCGAGACTGTCCCGTCCCGGACGTCCCATGTCCCAGTCCCATGTCCCTTGACAACACTGCCTTACAAATATTTATAATACATTTCGAGTAGATTTATATAATTAATTTAATTGAAAGATATAGAATCCAATTAACTTATATATAATAATTTAGAAATAACCAGAAATTACCTTTCCTATAGTATTTGCCTTATTTTTTTTAAAAAAAAGAAAAATCAGAATAAAAAGAAAAAAATTAAAAATAATATAAAATAATTAATTAACTAAATAGATACTGTAAATATGAAATCGTAAAAATCAATAATTAAGAAAATGATATATTAATATTTTGATCTCTTCGCCCAGAAAATTATTTTCCTTCAAACTATTAACATATTTCCAGCTAACGATGCTGGAATTTTAATTTTAAACATCTGAAAGTACGGAAACTATACATATCAATGAGAACAAATACCATAGAGCTAAAAATTCATTGAGACTATTTAGAAAAATGGAATTAAATTATTGAAATCATAAATAAATAAATAAGATTAAATGAGTAATAGACTTTACATTTTGATATTTTAATATAATAATTAATTATACCTTAATTTTTGTTTTTAACGAAAAGCAATAAAATGATTAAAGTAAATCTATTCATAATATATCTAAGTTCAGATCAAAAAATAGATTTATTTAATCAAAGAAAAAATGGATTTCGTATAAAGAATCACATATATATATCATGGATTTGTTCAAAGAAAAAAAACGAAAAAAATAAAATTGTAGATTTAAGATTAATTCATATTTTTATATTTCTTAACAAGGTCATCTAGTTAGCGATGAAAGATAGCAGCGACATGTATTGATCGTTAATTGATCAAAATAATAAAGGTTTTAATTTTTAAATGAGTATGATCCGATTTGACACAAGATTTACATGTTTAAAGATTTATTGTAAATTTTGGAACCCTCTAGCATGTATCGCGTTTGATCTTTTGTATTCATTCAGAGCGGCCCTTGGTGATATCAAGTAATTATTGTCAAAATTTATGATATGGAGGTTTTGCACTTTTTTCTCATCTAATTAATCCATCGTGGTTAGATCCTTTTTGGTTTATTCAGGTGAATAATTTCTTCGAAACAATTGAACTGATTAGAAGACCCTGCATAATGGAATTTTGGTTAAGTCAATTAATCTATTGTTCTTAATCCATTGCAACGCCAATTGAACTGATGATTTTAATCAGAAGACCTTTCATAAATGGCCGCTTGGTCATCAATTATTAATAATTAAGCTTATTGTCATCGCAATGAAATATATTATCAAGTGCTTAATAATTATTTTTTTTTTTGAATATGCAATTGGGAAATGAAAGGCAAAAAAAAATAAAAATAGAAAGATGAATATTATTATTACATTATTTGTTTTATTACGTAATATTTACTATAACTTATGATAGAAAATATAGTAATATATTGCATAAAAAAAAAACACATCTGCGCCTCGTTAGACAAACGTTTTTTTTATAATTTATAAATACGATACCCGCCCAGAAAGAAGCAAAGCGAAGCGGTGGATCAAGATCGTGAGCACAGCACGGCACAGTGCGGCACAGCAAGGCAAAGACAAGAGATTTGATTTCTTGATATTAATAAATATAAACCGCCCGTGAAACCACAAATTGCCTCTCTTATATCTACTTTTTCGCTTAAAATGGATACTGATCTAATCTTAAAAGGCACAGTCTAAAAAAAAAATAATAAAAGATAAAAGCAGGCCTGCGTCGTACGAATTTGAAAGCGTGATTTTATAGTGATAATGTTAATGAAATATTTTAAGTCAAAAAATTATTCAAATCTGCAAATCTGAGACATTATTTGAGCCAATCAACTTTTAATTAATATTTTCTATATTTAGATATCAGATTAGATAATGACTTAATATATCATTAAAAAATAAACATTTAATTTAGATTTTATGTTTTGTAACATCACACATTCTATAAAAGATCAATTTAATTAATTTAATTTAACACCAAAGTTGTTTTTTGTTATGTGCCACCGTAAAAAAAGTGTTTGTTTTTGATTTCAGGGGTGGCTACCTTTCTCATCGATATTAAATTAATAGTAAAAGATAAATAATGTATCATTTCACCCTTGAAATCGAGAAATGGACATTTTTTTGTTTATTATGTATGGTTCTTATTGATTGACAAATAAATATGAAAATTAATATTTTGATTTGCGTTTTAAATTTTGTTTCAATGATAACCCACATATGACAATGAAACGCGTGGAATAAATTTTCTAAAATAAGTCGTCAACGTATTTATTTTATTTGAGAGCATTAAATTTCTTTATTATTTCGATTTGTTTTTTTACTTGAATGCATATAGTCAATGAAAAATATCGATGTTTATTATCCATACTACTGCCCTTTTTTGATTTTACCTCAATAAAGTTATTAAAGTATTATTTCGGTGTAACTTTGTAAACTGAATAAAATGACAACTGAATAAACTGAATCATCGATGATAAATTGAGAATATTATTTTTGTTGAATCCAATATTTTTTTAAAAAAATATTTTTTTTAAAGATGAGTTTACAAGCACTTCAAGAACTTCCTAAAGAAAAAATTTTCCTCGGCATAAAGGGGGTTCAATTTTTACTTCTGTTTATAAATGTTATAGTGGGTTCGTACCGTATTTATTTTCTTTTTACATTCCCTTTACATAATCGTGTACTTAATGTGAATCAATTTAATATCCATAATTCATAGAAATCGTGCAAGTCGCCGCCTACACTTCTTTGTCTAGTAGTTATTATGGATATGGATCTTTATTTAAACGTTATTATTCAGATTATTCAGATTATTATCCATCTTCTCCATCTCATAAATCTGTTGAGAGTCCAGTTACAACATATTTTACAGATGCCACAAAGTATGTATTATTAAATAATTGAATAATTAAATTATTAAATTATTGTAATTTGAATATTTGAAGTATTTGAATCCAAGATTATATAAACTAACCAATCATTCTTTAACAATTAAAAAAAAAATAGTGGCAAAGGAGGCGCGTCAATATGGGTATACCTTATTTTGTTAATTACATTAGGATATGTTAGTAAGTATTTATAATTAATTAATCAATTCATTATATTATGTTAAATTTATTCATATTTTTTATGCGTTTTACTCATTTTTATAGTCGGATATGCTGTAATGTTTAAAAACAAGATTTGGGTCAAACGAAGCGAAATTCATTTTATAGCATTCGATGCGTAAGTATATTCCTTTTTTTTTTTTTACAGTTTTTATTCCCGCATTTTTTTTTTTACTAACTTTTCACTCCACATATTCGTATTTAAGTGCCTTTGTAATTTTATGGATCACCGAAGGTAATTAATTTTTTTATTTCCGAATTGCCAATTGTTTTTAATAATATTATTCTTCTACCGGAAAAATATCTAATTTATTATATATATCTAATTTATTTATTTATAAAAAATAGTATTCACTAATCTCGTTTGGGCATACAAAGGAAGGCATAATTTGTGTTATGTCGTTAACGAAAATTCTTATATTATGCCTGCAGGTCCTAGAAATCTCTGTAATGCTTATACTGCTTCCAATGTAATTGGATGGATGATCTTAATTTCATTCATTTTGGCCACAGGATATTCTTGGAAAGTTTATAATGAAGAAAAGATTGCAGCAGCAAATCCAACAGATCAATTTGGTAATAATAATATGACTTATATTCCTCAACAACCACAACCATCACAATATGCTCAAGAGCAACAACAATTCGAGCAAATACAATTAAAACAATAATAATGTAATTTATTTACTCCTCTTAATAATACCTTAATAATAACTTAAATGCTATTGGGAGAGTTAGAATTTAGTTTAATATATCTATATATATACAGTACACACATAAATAATAATCATGATTAGAATTTAATTTATATACATATAAATACCTCGTTTAACAAAAAAAAAATGAATAAAATTAATTATTTTATTTGTTGACTTTTCGTGTATGTTATGTAATGCTTGTATGTACTACGCTGCGTTGAAAAAAAACAATTGAAAAATTAATAAACAAAAGTAAACATCATTTTTATCATTGTTACGCATTCCCAATCCCATTCCATTTTTTCTTTAAAAATTATTGAATGTACAGTATGGATAAATATTCCGTAAAAGAGATTTGCAAATTATCTCTGCATTTACAATTCTTTTAACTTTTTTTCAAATAAGAAGGAATATCGTCAAAACATTATCAAACGACAGATAATCTTGTGGAACGTCAAAGCTTGAATTCAAAACATCTCAAAAAATTCAATCATGAAACGAGAAATTGGAGCATTGCGTAAAAAAAAAATCCCCGCGAAAAGCATTGCAAAAAAAAAAATTTTGGCTTCACAAAATTTTTGCGCAAAATTATATAATTTGAACCATGACAATCTCATGTGAGGTGGGGAGTTACAAAGTGTCTGTACTCCATACATCTATTCTTCGATATCAATACCAATTTGGTCTCAAGACCTATTTCACACCACTTCGGGAGTAAGTTTAGATCTTCTTTGTTGGCCGTTTTCGATTGATTAACTTTTACTAGTATTTAGGAAGGGTATTTATGATGAAGAAGAAATCCCACATACAATTGATATTCTAGCCGACTGTGTAATGAATTTAGATATAGAAGGTAAGTTTTTTTTTTATTTTATTTTATTTTATTTTAATTAATTTATTTTTTTATTTTATTTTTTTTTCGTTAGATCAAGTTCTGGAATTATTGTATCAAGAAAAATCTTTGCATCCGATTACATCTACACTTACATCTGAATTAGTTACACCTGAACTAGAAACTTCGCCTTCATCACCAGACCATGAAAAATCTTCACATCTAGAAAGTAAGTTTTATTATTTAATTATTATTTTTTTTATTTTAATTAATTTATTTTATTTATTTTATTTATCTTTTTTTTATTTATTTATTTTATTTATCTTTTTTTTTATTTTATTTATTTTATTTAATTAATTTTTTCATCAGACCAAGTTCTAGAATTCTCGTATCAAGAAAAATTTTTGCATTCGATTATATCTACACTTACATCTAAATCAGCTACGCCTGAACTAGAAATCTCGCCTTCATCATCAGATCAAGAAAAATCTTCGCATCTAGAAAGTAAGTTTATTATGATTTATTTAGTTAATTTATTTTTTTTTTTTATTTTATTTTAATTTTTTTTTTATTTTTTACTTTATTTTAATTTTTATTTTATTTATTTAAAATTTTTTAAAAATAACATTTTAATTATTTTATTATTATTTCATTTATTATTAATTTTTTTATTTTATTTTAATTAATTTATATTTTTCATCAGAATTATCATATCAAGAGAAATCTTTGCATTCGATTACATCTACACCTATATATGTATTATTAATAGAGCTCTAATCCGATTTCTGATGAAACTAGGGATCAAGATTCTAATCTTTTAAATCAACAATCAATGATAAATATCTAATGATGAAGAGGAATCTAATGAGCTATAGATTGTAAAAATTAGATCACAAGTTAGCGAGATAGATCTATATAGCCCGAAAAATAAAAAATTATAATAGAATTTCTATGCAAATGATTGGTTAATAACTTGGAGTAGAGATGTCCAATCTGGATTTAACAACTACCAAAATGTTCACCTCGATAAGGGAAATCGAATGAGCCATAGATCGCAAAAAATCGGATTACATATTTAAGTTAAGTAACCTCTGTTAGGAATTTTTCCTTCTTCCATTTCTATTTCTATTCCGAATATACTTAATAGTTTTGGATATAGATTTATTTTTAAATAAAACTTTTATTATTATTTTAAATATACTTAATAGTTTTGATATTTATATTTTAAAATATATGCTTAATAAAATATTTATTTTTAATTAAAAACATATATTTACTTATAAAATGAATATTTGGTAAATTTTTTTTAAGAAAGGAAATTTTTTATGCAGCACTGCTTTTCGTATTTCAGACCAATTTTTTCATTTTTTTTTGTTCAGGTAGAAATATAAAAAAAATCAGCCAGATTTGTGTTATATAAGCCAATCTTTAAGATATTTATGATCTTCAAAATTGAATCAATTGAATCAAATTTGCAATTATGTTGTACAAATGCATGCAAAACATACAAGACGGAATTTAATTCGATAATGTGGCCGAAGGGATATTTTTTTCAGATTCTAAAAAATTTAAAAATCGAGAAAAATGGAAGAAATTAAAGGAACTGGAGAAATAGAGGAATTGGAAGAATTGGAAGAGTATGCATATTGTATTGTTATATTAAGATTTATTTTAAAACCATAATTTATTGCTAATAATGATTTACATATTTTTAAATTTATATTTTTAATCAATTATAAACTAATTAATATAAATTATACGGTAGCTTGTGAGTATTTAGATTCAATATCATATAACAATTCTCTAAACTAATCACATATATGTTACATATATTACAGGGAGTGAGTATTTCGTTTCATAATTATCGAAATCGATTTAAATCAATTTAATTTAATCCAATATCATATAACAATTCTCTAAACAATTATGAACTTATCAATATTAATTATATTACAGTTTGTGAGTATTTAGTTCATGATTATTTAAATCAATGTTTCGATATCATATAACAATTCTCTAATCAATTATAATAAATCAATATAAATCATGTTACATTCGTGAGTATTTAGATTCGTAATTATTGAGTCAATGTTTCAATATCATAAAACAATTCTCTAATCAATTATAAACTTATTATATTGCAGGGAGTGAGTATTTAGATTCATAATTATTGAAATTAATGTTTAAATATCATATAACAATTCTCTAATCATTTAAAAACTAATTATATATAAATTATACTACAGTGAGTGAGTATTTAGATTCATAATTATTGAAATTTAATCTAATTTAATATCATATAAAAATTCTCTAATCAATATAAATTATATTACAGTTGGTGAGTATTTAGATTCATAATTATTGAATCAATGTTTCGATATCATGTAACAATTCTCTAAACCAAACACATATATGTTATATTACAGGGAGTGAGTATTTAGATTTTTAGCTATTGAAATCAATGTTTTAACAATTCTTTAATCAATTATAAACTAATCTACATATATAATATATTACAGTTTGTGAGTATTTAGATTAATAATTTTTGAAATCAAATGTTTCAATATCATATAAACGATTATAAGCTAATCAATATCAATATAAATTATATTACAGTGAGTGAGAATTTAGATTCATAATTATGTTTTCAATATCACATAACAATTCTCTAATCAATTATATATGAATTATATTACAGCTCGTGAGTATTTAGATTCATAATTATTGAAATCAATTTAATTCAATATCATATAACAATTTTTTTAATTATTGTCAATAATATTTTTTAGAAAGTGCAGTGAATGCTATTAAGATAATACTGGAGGAAATTGGTGCTATCCGTGTAATGCCAAAAGGTTTCAAAATGAATTTGATAAATGGACAAGTGAAGATAGAGAAATTGATGAATTTATTCAGCAAATACAACTAAATTCAAATAAACATCAAGAAATTATTGAGTGGATTCCATTTGACAAACTTAAAAATGTCACATACCTTGCTAAAGGGGGTTTTGGCACAATATACAAAGCAGAATGGTTTAAGGCCCAATTATTTCTTGGGATTATAAAGTAGAAAATTGGAAAAGGATCCAAAAACATAATGTTTGCTTAAAAAGTCTTGATAATTCCACAAATGAAAATGAATACATGATGGTTATGAATTATGCAGAATATGGTAGTCTTCGAATCCTGTTGAATAAAAAGTTTGAAGAATTAACTTGGAAAAAAAAAATGATATTGTGTTAAAATTGTAAATGGACTTACAAATATCCATGAATTGGGATTAATGCATAAAGATTTTCATTCTGGTAACATTGTCAATCGAACTTTAACTTGATGTAATATTACTGATTTTGGATTGTGTAAATAAAATGATCCGGAAAAAATTTATGGTGTAATTTCATACTTGGCACCTGAGACATTGAGTAGAGGAGAATATACTCAAGCATCTGACATTTATTCTTTTGGCATGATTATGTCAGAAGTTCTAACTATTTATCCACCATATTATAATATTCCACATAATGCAAATCTTGTAATGAAAATTTGTAATGGACTTAATTCCAAAATTAAGTGTGAAATTCCTCAATTTCTCAAAGAAGTAATGGAAAAATGCTGGAATTTTGAACCTTTAAATCGTCCAACTACTGAAAAATTGAAATCTCAACTTGATAAATTTGGTCCTTTTGGTAGTGATGATGAAATAAGAAAACAAGTAAACGAACGAGTTAAAGAAGCAATTTAATCAAACAAGAATTTTAATCAATATGATCCAAATGAAATGCATCCTAAAGCAATATATACGAGTAGACATTTGCATTTTTTGAAATCAAAGAAATTTGAAACCAATACACATGTGTAATTACCTATATTTTTTAACAATAAATAAATGATCATTTTTATATAAAATACTGTATTTATACTCATTATTATTTTAGATACAAACAATGGGATTTTACAGTTCCTGATGATATAAGTTAGTATCATATTTCTTGAATCATTTGTTTAATAATTTACTAAATGAAATTAACAATCTTTAAATTTGCATAGTCGAAGGAAATGAAATTCAAAAAATTAATTGTTAATTTTTTTGAGAATTTTTATTTTTTTTTTTTTAATCTTACAACTTTTTTCCTTTGTATTAAAATTATTTATTCTTTATTTTATTATATTTATATTTATATTATTTTATTTGATCACTGGAATTATAAAGTATAGCTTTTATTTAGATTAAAGCAGAATAGTATGTAATCATTATTAAAATAAATCATTATTGTCTTATTGTCTTGATATTTCAAAAATCTAAACATTATCTGTGTTTACACAGGTTATAAATTGTACAAAGGTAAACTGAAAATTGATGAGTTAGCGATGCATAAATGAACAGTTAATTGAAAATAAAGTGTTATCAAAAATAATTATTGTTATCAATAAAGAAAAATAAATGTAATAAATGCACAATTATTTTTTAAAACAAAATGAATTATTTATTTATTTATTTTTTGTATTTCAATACATGTTTATCAATAGAATTCATGTTTATTAATCAATAGAATTTAACTCCCTTTAAAATTCATAATTCATTCTTCAAAAAAAAAAATCACATATCAAATATTAGCTGTGTTAAAAAAATGGATTTTACCACTGCATCAAGTTATAATTGTTTAACACTTGAAATCACACATAAATTCATAAGGCTACATTCTATCTTGGATATAACCTATGAAATATATCTTGATGCTGTTCCCGATAAAATAAATTATTCTTATAATTTACTTTGACAACGTATAATCTATCTAAATTACAGTGAGTAACGCAAAATTTTTATTTTTCCAAGGTATCAAAAAATATTGTACATTTAGAACTGAAAAAAATATAGTTAAAATAATCAATCAAGTAATTGATTCATTTCTTGTAATCTTTTCCATTAAAGTTATCATGAGTCAACTGTAAAAATTCATATATAATTTCGTGATAAGTATATATATTTTTATTGATAATATGGAATCTGATATTGCATAAAAAATATGTAATAATTTGCCTTCTATTAATCCTAGAGACATAATATTATTATCATTAGATGCGCTTTTATGAGAGGAATCCAATGAACTAGATTTCATCACTTTTATAATGGTCATTAGATGACATGTTATATTATTTATCTTTAAAAGTATTCAAATTATTAAAATTATATTTTTTTCAAATTCAATTTTTCAGTTCTTAGGAAAGTGACTTTTACGTATCTATGATATTAATTTTTTTTTTTACATTATATTTCAACAATTGATATTTTCATTGGGAAACGCCAGATTCTATATAATATATAAATTGCGGATCATTAATTTTTAAAAGTGTCAATTCCATATCGATTTCATTGGAAGTTTGGTGATTTCTAATCAAATTTAATCATGTAATATCGTTCATCGTAGAATCACAAATAAACTTGTAAAAATAAAATATATAAATCAAAAAAAAAAATCATTTTTTTTAACATTATTACGAAATGTCAATCAATACTAATGATATTTTTTATTCGTGATTGCAATTTAACTGGTGAGGTATTATATCAACAGACAATAACTGATAATCAAATATTCTATGAGGAGGTTGAATTACGGCACGATTACGCTAAAATATTGACATATCTATAGTACAGGATGATGCTTAACCTGTTCTAGGAGATATAGACATGTATTCTTTCCATGTCACTTGTTATATTATAAGAAAGAAACAAAAATATTTATATCGTAATCATAACCCAAATATTTATTTAATAAAAAAGAAGAAAATGCGTGATTCTAAATCAATATCGTATTTATGACCCAAGTTTTCATCAAATATTGATATTGAAAGTATCCAATGAAAGATTATGAAATGTATTTAAGTGAATGAAATATGAACCTGACTTTTTTCTTTGGATTTTATCAATTTTTGAACCTATCATTACTAAATTGGATAGTTATTTAAAATAAATAAATGAACTTTGTTTTCACTTTTGATATGTTGAGGTTTCTATAGAATATTTTATTTTTTAAAAAATGTTATAAATTATTGTATAATTTGTAGAAAATTATCGTGATGAATAAATTTTTTTAATTTAATATTTTTATTTATGAAATTTTATTAGCGATTATTAGATTTTTTCCAAAATGTCGACTATTTAATCATTGCTATAAATTCTTGATAGTTAAAATTTCAATCAAATAAATTTGGTATTTCGTCAAAAAATTGAAAAAAAGTGGAAAAGCGTTTTTGTTATATGAAATTAATTGTAAGATAGAATGAAATATAAGTTAAAATTAATTTTATTTTGAGTTAGCGACTAGCTAAACTATATCTATAATATACAGTATGTAGAATGAATTTAATTGACTTAATATATTGATGGTATAATTTAATTTTGATAAGATAGCAAATTAAAAAAACACTTGTCAATATATTTTCTGGAAAAATGACATCAACGTGACATTAATATCAGTAATAATATTGTACGTAATTATTATTCATATTAGCAGAAATATTTTATTATAAAAATACTTTCATTTTGAAAATCTTAAATAGACTAGAAGATTTAAAATTAATTTCCATTATTTTTATTTGCAATATGAAATAAATAAATATAAACAAAATTATGATGAATATTATATCTATCAAACACAATATTGATAGAAACGTTCTTTTAATGCAAAAACAAAAATTGATGAATCTATTTATTAAATCAAAAATAAAAAAATAAAAAAATAAAAAGTCCATTTAATTAAGTAATAGAACTTGATTGTATTATTAAAATATTATATAAATATTTTTATTACTGTCATTCATAACTAGTATCAAATGATATACTCAACTCATTTCTTATAAATCGATGAATTACATATATAAGTATTTGAAAGTATAATAGTACATTCACTTAGATAGATGATAAAAATAATGACTTCGTTTTCGCTTTTCTTGTATGAATAAATAAAAGAAATTTCGTGAAAACAAAATTTTTTAGTGCTGTTAGTGACATTATTATAATAATAATGGAAAATATAATCAAAATTAAAATTATTAAAATATAGTTAACTATTTATCGCTCATGTTATATATTTGTTCATAAATTAGTCAACCTTAAAAGCTGTAATGCACATTCAAAAGGAAATCAAAAAGAGAGGCTATACTTGTATACACAAATTGGTTTAATTATTTGATCACATTTTAAACTTTCAGCCACAATATCACAATGTCCTTCTTGTTACAACTATGATAATATCCCCAACAATAACCATTACAATAATGATTTTAATAAATTATTCCAAATTATATAGAAAATATTCAGGATACAAAATTTAATGAAATGAAAATTTAAATTCTGCGCAAAAAACTTTTTAATAAATTAATAATAAATAATGAAAATATTGTAAAAAAAAATGTATAAGATTTCTATCAAGATGCACAATTTTAATAGAAAATGTTCATTTTGGTTCATAGTTATTTAGAAAAATTGTTAATAATTCGATTGTTCATTTGATTCAAGGAATATATTTGCAAGTCCTGGGCAAATGAAATGATTTGTGACTAATCTGATTATATATATGGCATGAATTAGCTTTAGTTGCCAGAGAATGCTCATTTTCATATGCAAAAAATACATACACACCATTTTTTACTTATTTAATTATTATGAACATTTTGTCCCAAAGATTTTTTACATTTCTATTCAGTTCTAATTCTGAAGTCAAATATCTCTTTGATTACATTATAATATACATATATATATATTCATATATAATTCCAAATTATGTCATTGAAACCTCTGGTTCTTCAAATTCAATATTGTCGCTACTGAATTAGACCAAATCTTTGTTTCAATATTTTAGCTCTGACATTGGAAAAGTTCATATAAATTATCCAAATTTGAGACTGAAGATGGAAGTAACGTAAACATCATACAATATATTATTCATATTTTATTATCTAAATTATTTACAAAGATAATTTATTGTAAATATAAAAATGTAATTTCATCAATTTATCATAGAATATATTGTTCCTATTTTCATATTAGCAATAGAAACCCAAAGATAATTTATTGCTATTGCAAATATGCAAAATATAATTTCATCAATTTTACCGCAATGTATAATATGCATCCTATCCATAACTAATATGATTAATTCAATAACTCATATGAGGTTCAATTTTGAATATGCATCCTCTGTAACCAATCCATAACCAATATGATTAATTCAATAGCTCCTATGAAGGTTGATTTCAAAATAATATACTTATATTTACTGATTTCTGTCTTTAGTGATTGTTATTTCAAGACATAATTAAAATTTTCTAAACATTTAGTTATTTAAAAATAATATTTAAGAATAAGATATTTTAAGATATTTTTAAGTTTGAACAAGTAGCATTAAATTTTATTTTAGTTTCCCTTAATAATCTGAAATATAGAAGTTGACAAAACTTATGAAATAATATATTTTTAATTAATAATTTCTTTATAATAGCTTATAGAATAGATAAAAATTTATAGATGATAGAGCTAATAAACACTTCTCAATAAATATTGTCATAAATTGTAATCTCATAGAATGAACTTCAACTGAATAGATTATAAGAACATTGGTAATGTTATTTAGCAGAAATTAAAAGAGAATTATAGAAAATAGATATTATTATTAAAAGCATATCAAGAAATAACAACTTTATATATATATATATATATTCATCTGTGCAGTTGCAATATTCAATCAAATTTATAGTTCAATTTATAATATCAGGTTATGCCATACATGGATAGCTAAGAAGAAGTTCATATATAATGCTACCTTCCACTAAAAGAAACATTTCCATGATAGGAAAGGGGAGTTTGTAAGTGAGCTCTGCATTTTCATATATATAGAAGAATAATGTTTTTGAAAGAATCCACCCATAGATATTAAAAAAAAAATATATTTCACAAAAAAAAAATAACTTATAGTTAACATCAGTTTCCGCCTTAGAATATATTTATAACTTGAATTTGTTTAATCAATTTGATTAAAATAAATGCTTAATACAGAAATATTTCATTAATTATTAAATTAAAGGACTTTGAAACATCTCAAGATACCCGATTTCATATTTGTTTTATGCATTTCAAAAACCAACCTACAATATATATATAAATTAAAAATGATTCTGATCACATTTTTGCATAAAATAATATAATTTTAGAATAAATGTTTTTCAATTAATTATTTAACAAATTAATTGAATATAAAAATATTATAACTTAAATTGAATATCAAAAAATTTAATCTACCATACAGATATGTGCATATACATGTATAATATTTTTTGAATAAAAGTGAGAATAACAGTGTAGAGAAGCATGAAAATATGGTTTGATGAGTATATGGTTTTATGCAATTTCTTGTACTTTACATATAGAAATATTTTTTTTTGATAATCCAAATTAATTTTGCAGAATGATAACGATCATAGTATGGTTAAAAATCTCCATAGCTCGGAAAAAATGTCAAAATTTATCAGTGAATTTTCTCAAATCAAAATTATGAATGCTTCTTATTCATTGATTTGACAAAAGAAAATCATATTAATAAGAAAGTTAGAGACGTAGTCAAGAAAATTTTATTGAAGTAAAGAAGGATATTTAAAAGATCAAAAGACTAAACATTCATAATTAAAAAATATTATATAAAGGGAATAAAAATGCATGTAAATCATTCAAAAAAACAAATTAATCGATAATTTATTTTTATATAACAATAAACATTTTAAATAAATTACTCATCATATTTAACTTTCAAATTTTATTTTTATATTCATTGATATTGGCAATATCATAAATATACTTCATTTTCAATGAACAAACTAGAGACATACACTCCTAGAAATATTACATTAATAATTGATTGATTATAAAAAATTAATTAATTATCTTGACAATTTAAACAAATCGCTTTCAAAAAATCTAAGATTTAATAATCTATTTCTTGTAAAATATATTTAAAGTATGAATAAGAATAATTTATTTTAATAATTTAGCATCGATTTTTAATATTGTTCATGATATTTTATTACCCTTTCAATATAAGATTAATTTTTCTTTGTTTTATTAAAATATTTAATTTAATTTATTTGATTGTTCTTTTTTTTTGATCTTTGTTTTTTCATTAGGTGTTAATTTGATCAATAATTTAAAGTCAATATTTAAACTAAAAAACTATTCCTTATAAATTGTATCAAATTTTTTTTTTTTTTTAGTTTAGTCCATAAATAAGCAAAGATCAAATTTGCATTTATTTTTTAGAGAATACAGTTTATCAGAATAAATTTATTATAAAACAACCATAAAATTTTTTATTAATAAAAAATATTTATTTCAAACTAAGTTAACTGAATTCATGTTCATAAATGAATTATATCAAGTATACTCAGTATTTAAAATCTTCAATATCATCAAAATGAAATAAAAATAATAATATAATTACGCATGAATAAAAAAATATATATATACATATACATTGATACTTACTAGTAATTATATGAGAAAAAGGATCTGTTAATTCTGTTTTTTTTTTCAAAATTTGATCAAACTATCATTATTTTTATTATATATTTTTTTTATTCTATTTTACTTTATTAATTATTATTTTATAATTTTATTAAATTAATTATTAATAAAATGATAAAATAATAATTAATAAATTAAAAATTAATTTATAAAATAATAAAATAATAAACTTGTAACGCTGGTTTTGGATTATCAATAGAATCTAATTTATTGTAACCTTAAGTCATTTATTCGTTTGTAGTTAAATTCATTTGTTAGTGCCTTTAGAATACAAATGTATGCTCCAATAATTTAAGTTATACTTACAATATCTTGTTTAATCATCCAAAAGAAATTTTATTTTTTATTCATAAATCATTTAATCTTTTGATTTAATTTCAATAATAACTTTCCAATTTATATCGTTGAAACATAAAATCAAAGCTTTTAATTCTAATCCTTTAAGTCAGGCTGGAACGTCCAATATATATATATATATTGTGATGCAATAAATTAGATAAATTAAATGTATATTATATATGTTACTATTAATTTGAATAATATGATTATTTATATTAAATTAATTAATTAATCACATTCCAATAATTCATAATTAATGAAAACAATAATATAGTTTTTATCATAAAATCATTTCTTTTCTTTACAAATTTTTATTTGCTTCCTTAATTTTATTTATATCAATTTTATTATTATCGATTTTATTGATATTATTATTATTTTTGACTTAAATAATTATAATAAATATAATGATGATAATATAAATAAAATCGGTTGTTGATCCATTTTTAAAATAATATCCATATTTAATAATAGTCAAAGGCAGTTTTGGTAATTTGTAATAGGCTTTGATATATTCTTTGAAGTCGTCGCGAGTAGTAATGAACAAAGTCATTTCTTTCTTCTGTATCTTATCAAAGCATATACAACAGATAAGAATATGATAGAGTAGACAAGTAATGTGTGTACTTTTTATAGTAAAATGCAAATTAATTTCTGGAACATGTAAATGTTACCTCGGTGTCAGTTAACTATGGGATACTTGTTCCGAGATCAAAATTTGATTTAATATAACGATGTTACTATACAACGAATATTCGGTTTATTATTTTAGTGTCTAAGGAAAATATATTTAAATATTATTTTGATTTATTGTATTATGTAAATATAAATATGCATTATTAAATTGTATTAACAAATAAATTTTAGAATCATTTAACCATATTAAATTATTATTATAGAAATTAATTTATACTTTAATCGTTAAGCGAATTTGTTTGTTGTCTATTTAAAGAAGAATATGATCGAGAATAGAGTTATAATTAGTAAATATATTAAAAAATTAATTAAATTTAGAGATCATATTATTTCATTAACTATGAGCATGACCTGCCGTAATTTTAAAAATTACTTGGCAAAAAAATATCTTTTGTCACGTTACTATAATGATCGCCCCAGAATTTCTTAATAAATATTCGGATTTTTGTACGGATTACGAATTAAGATGCATTTAATATTTTTGATTTGCATTGCATTTCGTTTTACATAAACAAATGATCATTCATTATCCTTTTTTGAATTATTCCACGAATAATAATTGTTAAATTGAGAATATTTTATCCTTATAATGAAAAATGAATAAATTAAATCAATTTAAAACGAAATACTGTAAATAACATAAATTAATTAAAGATATAAAAATGCCTATCTAAATATTTTAAGTCAACGAAATATATGTTTTGAAAATAAACAAGAAAAACAAAATAAGCGAATTTGAAAAAAAAAATACTTTTTTAAAGATGAGTTCGCGAAACCCAAATTTACCAAATTTACCAAATTTACAAACACTTCCTAAAGAAAAGATTCTCATCGGCATAAAGGGCATTCAATTTTTATTTCTTATCGTATTAATTATAGTGGGTTCGTATCGTATTTATTTTCACTTTCTATAAATCACCACGTACTTAATGTGAATTAATTTTATATCCGTAATTCATTGAATATTTATAGAAATCGTGCAAATCGCCACCTTCGCTTCTTTTTTTAATAATTATTATGAAAGTCCAGTTAAATTATATTTTACAGATACCACATAGTATGTATTATTTATTAAATAATATTTTTTTAATTGAATAATTTAAAATTATTGAAACTTGAATAATTTGGATAATTTGAATTTAAATTATATAAACTAATTAATCATTCTTTAACAATTTAAAAAAAAATAGTGGCAAAGGAGGCTCGGTAATATGGGTATACCTTGTTGTGTTATTTACATTAATTAGTATCAGTAAGTATTTAAAATTAATTAATTCATTCATTTATTAAATAACTTGTTCATATTTTTTATATGTTGTAAACATTTTTATAGTCGGATATTTTGCTATGTTTAAACAAAAGATTTGGGAAAAACGAAGCGAAATTTATTTTATAGCATTCGATGCGTAAGTATATTCCTTTTTATTATTATTATTATTTTTAGTTCCCACAATTTTTTTTTATTAACTTTAAATTTCCATTCTACTTATTCGTATTTAAGTGCTTTTGTAATTTTATGGATTACCGAAGGTAATTATTTTTTATTCCTGAGTCGTCAAATCATTTTCAATAATATTATTCTACCGAAAAATATCTAATTTATTTATTTATAAAAAATAGTATTTACCAATCTCGTTTGGGCATACAAAGGAAAAGAATCTATATGTCATGGCGATACATCATATTATGGCAGTCTTAAACATACCTGTAATGCTTATATTGCTTCCAACTTTTTTGGATGGATGGTTTTAATTTCATTCGCTTTGGCCTCAGTATTTTCCTGGAAAGTTTATAATGATGAAAGGAATGAAGAAAATCAAATTGGAATTGCGGCTGGTAATGACATGGCTAGTATTCCTCAACAACAACAACAACTACAACAACCACAATTTGCTCAACAACACCAACCACAATTCGCTCAACAACACCAACCACAATTTTCTCAGCAACACCACCAAGCACAATTTGCTCAACAACAGCAACAGCCACAATTTGCTCAACAACAACGACCACAATATGCTCAACAATTTGCCCAACAACAACAACAGCCACAATTTGGGCAACCACACTATTAAACAATAAAAACAAATCCAACAAAACAAAATACAAGTTACACAATTTATTTATTCCTCTTAACAATTACCTTAATATTAATAAATAATAAATAATAAATTCTATTGGATTTCTATATATGTATATACACACATAAATACCTCATTTAATAAAATAAAAATAAAAATCATTATTTTATTTCAAAAATATTGTTAATTTTTTTTAATTTTTTTTAAAAATGCTCATGAACAATGATCATATGAAATCATGTATGTTGCACTGGAAAAAAAAACAATTGAAAAATTAATAAACAAAAGTAAATCTCGTAACCTAACAGCCAGTTAACATTATTTTTATTATTATTGCGCATTCACCAATATTATTCCATTTTTTTTAAAAAAAAAAACTATTGAGAAGGAATTGAATCTGTGGATACATAATATTCACTAAAAGAGAGACAAAAAAAAAATTTTTTTTTTCTTCAATTTGTGCAAATTATCTCTGCATTTACAATTCTTATATTTGTAGATTTCTTTTTTCAAATAAAAAGAAACATCGTTAAAACATTACCAAATGGAAGATAATCTAAACAGTCAAAATAAATTCAAACATCTCAAAAATTCAATCACGATCTTGAAACAAGAAATTGGGTGCACTACATAAAAAACTTCCCGAAACTGTCGTAAGATATGAAAAGCATTGAAGAGATGTATTAAGAAAAAAAAAATCAAGCATTAATGATTAATCACTTGTGCTTTGCGCAAAATTATATAATTTGCACTTTGAGAATCTCAACAAAATCATGTGAGGTGGAGAGTTACAAAAGTGACTCCAACGAAATTAATAATAAATTATATTATACAATTACAATAAATTATATTATCTTTATAAATTATTATATTACTAGTCCCCATTACAAAAAAACAAAAAGGTGATCATCAAAGGAACAAATTGATCATACTGTAAAGTGCATCTCATAACTTTCAGGCCTATACCACCCAGCTGAATGCTACACTTTCAAATATTTTTACTTTGACTTGATGGCTGGAATCAAGGTTTGGCTAATGATTAAATCTCCAAATCATAAGTAATTAATTAATTAATTGTAACAATTAATTATCAAGATGATATTATCAAATCAAAGGTATCAGATTACCACAATTGAAACTTCTCTGCAATACTGCTACGTAGTTGAATAATAGTAAAACGAATTTTTATGATTAAACTTTCATCATGGAAAGTTGTTTGCGAAATTTAGACATAATTATTGTTAAATAATTTTTTTTTATAGTCTTTTAAATTAGCGTATAATTACTGTTAATTAGCTAATATTGTATTGACGTGAAAAAAAAAGTAGAATTTGTAAATATCAGACATGGTTATATCCTTTTTTATATCCAATTATATGCATAGAATACTTTAAAATTAATGGATAATCGTATGTTATAGGCGTAATGAATTAATAAATGCTAAAGTTCGTTAGCCTTTGTATCAAAAATATTGCTTCAATATAATTTTTTGCTGTTGTTTATTAACATATCATTTTTTAATTAAATTTATACAAATTTGTCCTAATTCTCTGTAGACATAATAATTTATTTATAATTAAAAAAAAATCTTTTGAGTAGTTTATTTTTGAATCGTTGAATTTAACATTAAACCTTCAAGAATCGTAAGGTCAGTCTTTAGTAATTATAACATTAATGCAATAAATTTTTTTTTTTTACATTTTAGTCGTAAGAACATGAGAAAGAATTAATGACTAATTCGTAATCCGAATTACATTTCTTATTTATTTTCTTTTTTTGATTTTATTCTTTTTCTTGTTTTATGTAATTAAATTGTTTATTATTAAATGTGTATAAAAATATACAATAGAAGATTAAAAATTCAGGCTAATAAAAACCTGAATTCCTATTATTATTATTAACAAGACCTGCATCATCATCATCATCGTTAAGATTACTATTACTTTCTTCTCCTTATCTGATTGAGAATAAATAGAATAATAATTATTATCGATCTTCTATCATTGATTGAATCGTCCATATTATTAGGTTCCGTCTCCTTTCCTTTTTCTTCTTTTATTGGATCTAATGAAATTATTACATGGCGAGCTTTAATCCTATTAACATATGATAACTCTAATTTAAATTACTCCTTTCAAAGTTCAACTGAAGTAAGAATCATCGTATCAATGTTAATCATACAGTATATGAAGTTATATTATTATTTTTAAAATAAATATCCAAAATCAATAATCTAAGAATCGTCGATATAATATTTTATTTGTTTTCACGTTGTTACGAGATCATAAAACGTTGGCTTATCTGGATGCTTAATAAAATTATTTTTAAAATAACGATTATTAATGATCAAACTAAGAAATTATATCACGAATAGAAATATATTTAAGTATAATTATTATCTCGGAACCTTTATACAGTTGCAGGACTTTGACATTATTTAACATATTATATCTGGTTTAGAATTTTCTTGAGAATTTTCTCTGTATAAAAGAAAATAAATATCCCAATTATTGATTATTCTCTTTTTGGGAAAAGAGTGTAGCTTCTTCCTTTTAGGAGAAGAAAGTAGGAAAATGCTAATATAATAGCGTTCGAAATATATTGGTTCGGACATTAAAATAATTGAATAAATTAAAATATGATTAACTGGCTTAGACGACGAGAACCATAAAATTTATTAAACGCACTTATTATTTGTAATATATATAAAAAAGTGTGATATTTACATAATAAAAAAATCTTAATTACAAACTAAGTTATTTGATTTTATATAAATAAATTTTATCCTTTACATTTAGTGTTAAGATTTATAATATCAAATAGTAAAATATAGTGTTTTGTAATTTAATAAGTAAATACAAATAAAATACGTTAAATGTCAGATAAAATCAGATATCAAAATTGTCACCTAATTATAAAAAATAAAAAAATAAAAAATAAAAAAAAAAAATAAAAAAATAAAATAAAAAAAAAATAAAAAAAAATAAAAAAAAATAAAAAAAAATAAAAAAAAAATAAAAAGAAAATAAAAAAAAATATAATTGATGCTTACTAGTATTATTCGATAAAAAGATGCTAATCTTCAAGTCTTTTTTCAAAATTTTCATCATTTTGGGTTTCGGAAGATTTGAAAAATCGAGAAGTCTACTGGTATAAATTGCTTGTGGATGTGTTTTATAATTTATTGGAGTTGCAGTTGTTATTTGATTTTTGGTAACTTCTTCAGCTTCTTTAATTTGAATTGTATTTTCACAAAACCAATAGTATTTAACCAACTCTTCATATAGTTCTTTAAAAGTGGGTCGATGGGTTATTCGAGAATCCCAACATCGCATAATCATTCGTGTAATTAATTTAGGTATGTGAAATGGAATATTTGGTCGAAATCCATTACATATTTTAAAAGCTAAATCTTTGTCATGCGACACATCATGATATGGGGGAATACCAGTAATTATTTCGTAAGTAACGAATGCAAATGAATGAACATCGGCAGCCTTTGTATATTCTCCCCCACTTAATACTTCAGTGGTAATACTCCAAAAATTATATTCTTTTGCGAATTTTTTATGTTTTCTGTAATTAATTTACTCAATCCAAAATCTGTTATATGTATATAATTGTCTTCCAAACTTTCTTTTAAAATATTTCCGGGATGAAAATCACGATGAACTATATCTAATTTATGAATCTTTATAAATTCGTCAGCTAAATTGTATAAATGTTCTAGTTTATTATTCCAATGAATATCATCAAAATTATTATAAATATTCTAAAACCATCATATATTTGTGAGTTTCTGGATCTTTCGTAATTCCATAAAGTATAGGTGATGATAATCTATCATTTGTTCTCAAGTGAATTGCCATCTAAAAACATTTTTTTTTTTTAAATTCTATATTTTCAAATAAATAAATTTTCGTATTAATTTAAAATTTTACTTTACCTCATTTAAAAAATCTTCATTTATATCTACAATATCATCAAACTTTTTTAATGCCACTTCAACTTGACCCTTTCTTTTCCATTGTTGATTTTCAATATACCAATCATCAATATATCCATTAACCCACATAGCGTAAGAAATAGTTCCATAACCACCTTTTGCTATTTGTTTAATATCTTGAAATCTATCATAAGGTATCCATTCTATTAATTCGTAATAATCAGCGTTTAATTGAGCAACTTGAATAAATTTATCTATCGTTTCATTTCCACTTGTCAATTTTTCAAAATCATTTTTGAAACACTTTGAGTTGCACGGCTTGCACCACTGATCATATTCTTGATCGTATTCTTGATTACATTCTGGACATTTAATCATTTTCTGTTTTGTATATTTATTTTTTTTTTTAAAAAAAAAACAATAAAATAAATAAATTTGTATCAGGATTTCTGTTTAGATGAAAATTGATAAAAATATCAAAGAATTTTTTATAAGCTGTCGAGTTACCAAATTTCGGTCACGCACTCCGATTGATAAATATAATTAAGGAAATTAAGGAACATCATACATAAATACTTACCTTTATAAGAAAATCTTGGTAAATTTAAAAATTTGCAAGTTAAACAGCCAAAAAAAAAACACTCTTCGTGTTAAACCTTCATTAGTATTAGGTTGCATTGTTTTATGGTCAAGTATATGGATGATTTCTTCAGTACTAAGTGAAGAAGCTTGTTCAGTCTCACCCAATCCATCATTCTGAAGTTTTTTCATTTTACCATCAAGTGTTCGCAGAGTCTTGCTGAATCCCATAAATTACAAGGCTGAATTACACTATTTTCTTTTAAATAACGAGCTATAGATGCATAACAGTTATGTATTCTTTCAGCTTTATAGTCCTTTCCATCTAACCTTTTCAACCATGTGAGAAATCTACAAAGAAAATTATCTAATTTAGTTAGTACCTCTATTTTTTCAATACTTTTTTTATAATTTATAGTCTCTTGAAAACGTTCCACTGAACGTAACCACTTGGTGGTGCATTTATCAGTGTTCTTAATATGGGAGATTCTTTAGAGTTCAATAACCTCTTGATCAGTAGGTGCAGAATTATTTCTCATTTTTTATTATATAAAATTAATATGTGAAAAAAATGATCAATCTAATTATTTTAATAATTAACAATTTTGTAATTTTTTACCAATTACGAATAAAGTGGTCACACCTGTGTAACGTCATACCCATGGGATAAACCAGTTACTCAATGGATATGTATCCCGTGAATACGAAGTATTCACGAAATATCCATTGAATAACAAGTAAGTATTGATACATATAAATGCAAAGACATAAAGGTATCTATTTTTTCTAATTTTGATTAAAGAATATTAAATTGTCATTTTTGTTTAAAAAAAGAACCAAGTAGGAAAAAAATTAAAATTAGTAACAAAAATGTATACAAATCAACTTGGCGAAAAAAACATTTTTCTTTGTAGCAGCTAGATTGAACTCACATATATATAATATACAATAGTGCCGTTCTTTCATAGGTCACGACTTAAATGTTCAAGCTGTAAATTAATTTTGTTAATAATTCATTAAATTATATGCTGCATATCAAATTTTATTTATAATAAAGAATTTAAAATTACAAGTGAAAAAATCACATCAGGCTATATCAAATCATCTCTGTTGACATGGTGAGCAAATAAAAATTATAAATTTATTTATGAACATTATTTGTTTTTTTTTAAATAAAAATTATTTATTAAAAGAATCAAAACAATTATTGGGACAGTTTTTTTTGAATTTATATGATTTATCATCGAATCATCAAAAAGTGAAGCAATAAAATTTTTATAGATAAATTAACAAAATCAACTGTACAGTACATGTACATGATTTCGTAAGATCATAGTACTGGATAGTTCATGCGGCTAGCATTTTAAAAAATTAGTAAAAGTCAAGAGAAAAGCAAATAAATAAATATTGTTGTATACTGTAATAATTTTTTTTATAATAAAATAATGTTATGTTGTGCCTCGGATCGACTTTTTGCGTCAGATCACCACTGAAATACGTCAGGTGTCACTCATTGACCAGAATTATAAAGCCAGCCTATGTTGATCCTTTTAATTTCACCCTAACCTTACCTTAATTTGCCCCAAAAAATCGTGGTTGCTGTTGTTAATGAATATTAGTCATATTATTATTAGCCACAATTCCTGTTCGATTTTCTACATACTGTCACAAATGTGCAGAGTGTTTCAAACACTTTCACCTATCAGTCTCAGAGTTTGTCTCGCACAAATTAATTTTTTAATACACTCTATCTGCCAGTAGGTCAAGCAATCCGTCAATCTAAACTTGCCTATCTCGAAACAGATAATAAATACAATATAATTCTTAATAATATTTAACAATGTTTCGCAATATCGCAACACAAAAGATAAGTTTATTAAAATATAAGGGTACCAATTTAAAATAAAGTTTCATTTAATGACAGAAATATTACAGGTTACATGTCTATTTTACCATCCTAAAGAAGTTTACTTTTCTATCTAATGATATTAATGTTCAAAACTATCTGTAATTATTAATTAACTGAAGTCTAAAACTACTGTTTTCTATCTCCAATAACCACTTCTTTTATACTTTTTCACCTTCATTCAAATCTTACCTGTCATCCGTTGTACTTCATCCTTCATCCTCGTACTTTATCTTTCAGATGACAACACAAGTTATTATCCTCATACAATTGTCTTAATGTTACCATTTATCATCCCCCGTGATAATCCCATGCTCATGAAATTACTTCGCCACAATACGTTTCATAATTATGAAACCCCCGAGAAAATATTTCGGCAAAAGCGAATGACACTAAGACCGCCCATCCAAGTGCAATGGAAGCAGTATAAACATTACAAGTAGTTTCAAGCTCGAGATAATAATGTGGATAAAAGTTATAACATTTTCCTACGTATATCCGATGATTACTGGATACTATTTTTTATAAATAAATAAATTGGATGTATATAATAAATTAGATATTTTCTTTAGTAAGAATAATAATATTATTGGCAACAATTGACAACTCAAGAATAAATAAATTACCTTCGGTGATCCATAAAATTACAAAAGCACTAAATACGAATACATATAGAGTGGAAAAGTAAAGTAAAAATTGCAGGAATTAAAAATTGTAGAAAAAGGAATAACTTAACCCAAAATAAATTTTGCTTCGTTTTTCCCAAATCCTTTTAAAGAATGCAACATATCCACCATAAATAAAATATGAATAGAATTAATATAACATATAATAATGAATGAATTAATTAATCTTAAATACTTACTAATACTAATTAATGTAATTATGACAACAACGTATACCCAGATTATCGCGTCTCCTTAACTCTATTTTTTTGGTTGTTAAAGAATAGTTGATTTATATAATTGAATTCAAATTATTCGAATTATTCGAATTATTCAAATTGTACAATAATTTTAATAATAATTTTAATTATTCAATTGAAAATATGTTATTTAATAATACATAAAATTGGGCATCTATATAATATAATTTAAGCATATAACTTAATTCTGATTTAGCCCCGGTTGAACGATATGGACTATCTAAAGAAGAAACTTTAGTTGGCGACTTGCACGATTTCTATAAATTTATAATGAATTGCTGATATAAAAGTAATTCACATTAATTAAAAGATGATGTAAGGAGAAAAATAGAGATACTAACCCACTATAATAATTATAACAAGAAGTAAAATTTGAACGCCTTTATGCCGAGAAAATTTTTCTAGCAAGACTCCTACTCCTCATCTTTGAAAATGTATATATATATTTTTTTTTGTTTCTTGTTCTCTTGTTTATTTTCAAAAAGGGATATGAATAAACATGTATTTCGTTGACTTATTAAAAAGCCATTTAAGATTTATTTATCATTAATTAATTTATATCGTTTACAGTATTCGTTTTATATTATATTATTAGGTTTTACAAAAAAAAGAATGATACAATATTCTCAATTTATCATCATTGTTTTGTTATCTTTATCAACTTTATTATTCGTGTTATAAATTAAAAATACAATGCAAATCATATCTACTAAAATTTCACGGCCACATGATACTGACGCTTAGAATAGCAACATCATTTTTTGATATAAGCTATCCTTATCCTAGTAGTTAAAATTATTATTGTCTACAAATATTGCAACCTAAGATCCATTTCCAAAATCATTTGAGCGCAACATTTAGCCAATATAATAACATCATGTGAATAAATGAATTTTTCGTAATGTTGGAAATAATACAGAGTGTTACTCTGCACATATGAAGGTATTTTTTTTTTGTTTTTATGATACATGAAATTGTTTACTTAATGAGCTTTTTTAAACTTAGTTTGTATTTATGAATATAACAATTTTTTATTTTACAATAATGAGAAAATTTTATATTTCTAGTCAGCCGGCTAAACCAGCTAATCTTATTTTAATTTATTTAATCGTTTTAATGTCAGAAACAAATATATTTCGACGTTCTTTTAAAAGGAAAAAGCATGCATTCTTTTCCCAAAAAAGGGTGATCGTCAAAGCAGTGTCCATCACGAGATTCTCCAGTGACTATGGCCAATTAAAATCGTGAATTTTGTTTATGCGGATCAGCCCGAAGAATAAAAAAAAGTGAAAAACAAAAAATACAAGAAACAGATGTCTATGGTACATTAATAAAAAATTACGGGAGGCAATTTTACATATAATATCTACTTAAACCCTACCCCTAACCCGGCCTCATTATAATTTGAGTAATCATGTGATGGACTCTGCTTTTAGGCATCCCCCCAAAAAGGGAATAATCAATAATTTGTATAGAATGATTTAAAAGTTAACACACTTCTAAATTCATCCGATCAACATCAAAACATACATTTTTAGAATAATTCATTGCATCCACAACTAAATCCGAAAATATCATCGATCCACAAATGTTTTTAACAACATTGATATTACTTTCTTTTATACAGAGGAAATTCTCAAGTGAATTCTATACTAAATGGATATGATATGTTTAATAATTTCAAAGTATTGTAACAGTATAAAGATTCCGGGATAATTATTATAATTAAATACGATTCTATTTGCTATAAAATTTGATGAAAATAATTGTTCATTATTTTAAAAAATAAATTGAGAGCAATTTAAGTACATCCAGGTAAGCCTTCGTTTTATGCCCTTGCAGCAACATAGAAATTTGAAACACATGAAATATTAGATTACTGATTTTTGGACATTTATTTCAATAATAATAATATAACTTTAAACATAATTGCATTGATGCAACAAGATTTATGGATGATTCTCAAATAAACTTTGGAAGGACTTATTTAAATGGAGTTATCATATATATGTTAATATGATTAAAGCTCACTGTGCAATAATTTCATTAGATCTAATAAAAGAAGAAAAAGAACAGAGTCTAATAATATGGTCGATTCAATGATAGAAGAGAATAATAATCATTCTAATTATTCTCAATCAGATAACGAAATAATTCGAATTATTATTAATGAAGAAAATGATAGTAATCTTAATGATGATGATGTTGATTCTGATAATACAAGTTTGTATCGCCAATAATAATAGAATTCGGATCAGGGCTTTTATTATCCAGTCTTTAGTTTTCCATTATAATTTAGAAATACTAAATATTTATATGCATTTAATAATAAATTATTTAATTATATTAAACACAAAAAAGATAAAAAAAAGAAGAAAATAAATAAGAAAAATTCGAAAACTTAAATAACCAATTTTTATTTTTAAATGTGCATTAAATAATACCATTTTTCTATTTTAAATAATATAATTACTAAAATTTGTACTAAAAAGCGTAATAAAGTTCCAGAAGGATCAAAAAATATTTAAATAACAAAAACCTATTTTTTTCAAGACAGCTTTGTAAAAAATTAATGTCTGAATAATTCGCACATGTTTAACAGTTTACTCAGCCACTTCCACTTCAAAAAGTTGCATAGTTCAAAATACCGAAGATAACTCTAAATCTCCTTAAATATCAAAAAATTGTAAATAAGAAAAAATTATCTTTCATAAGTTAGCTTCGCGAAATTAATACCTATAGTAACTGAAATATTTGCAAGTAAATATTTTTATATTTTTAAGAATAGAAAGAAAAGAAAAAATACAATTTTATTTAGTTGCACCCAATTGACTAATTCAAATTGAATTCTAGCATTTAATTAGAAAATTCTATAATGTAAATAAATGTATTTGCTCATTCACCATTAAAGTTTTTATTATTATTATTACATTGTTGTTATTGTTATTATTCTCTCTCATCCTCCAATTTACTATAATCAGTGATAACATTTCATATCATAAAAATCAGATATTACCCAACCACACAGTTACTTCCATTTTCTTTAGTATCATTATTTTAAACAATATAAATTTCAATGAAATTTTGTTTTTAGTTTTTATAATACTACAAATTAATTTTTTATCACTGGCAAATCTATTGTAAGCCTTTTTATGATATTTCAACGTAAAAGGTAATTCCTTCGGACTTCGGAGATAGTATCTATGTACGGTGGGATATTATAAGTCACCGGACAACTGAATTTATTAAAAAATCCGCCACTTTGCTAATGGATGCAATTGATAATCTTGTGTCTCGTGAGATTTTAATTTACAGATATTATTATTCTCCACCTTACTATAAGCAAAGGTGACATTTCGTATCATAAAACCAGTTATTATCTTGCCACAAAATTGGCTTCATCTTCTTGAGCATTGTTATTGTTGTTACATTATTTTAAATAGCTAGTAATTATAAAATTTCAATAAAATTTTGTTTTTAGTTTTATAGTATCAATTAATTTTTCATAACAAAAATCTATGATAAAGACTTTTTATGAATTTTAATTTAAAAGTTAAATTCCTCGGACTTTGATATATCATCTATGTACAGTGAGATATTCGGGGCGATTAAAAAACTCGCCGCTTCAATACTGTGTAAGAGTTACACAATTGATATCATTCTTTACAAATTAAATGTGCATTGCTTAAATAATAAATGATACGCACATAAAGTTTCTAAATTAAGTTAATAATAAATATTTTTTTACGAATAATAAAAATAATAAAGAAAATAATAAATATAAAAAATTAAAAAAAAAAAGATATTCAAAAGGGTATTTGAGATTTCTTTTGATTATTGTATTTATTCATTTTTCACTATATTATTAGTTCAATAAAAAAAAAATAATGACGATGTAGATTACGATAAAGACGAATAGATATTCTCAATTTATCACCGTATTTTTTTAACTTTTCAAGAAAATAAAAAATATAATTTTATTTAGGTGCACCCAATCGACTAATTCAAATTAATTAAATTATAGATTTTCGAATTCTAAGATCTCTATTTAGAAAATTCTATGATTTAACTAAATATATTTGCTTATTCAACCTAATTGCCATTAAAAGTATCATCATTGTCATCTTCCACTACAATATGAGAAATAACACTTCGTACCATAAAAATAGTTAAATTGCTTCCATCTTCTTCAGTTTATTATTTTAAACATAATTAGTAATTATAAAATTTCAATAGAATTCTGTTTTTAGTTCTTTGCTATCAATTAATTTTCACAATGAATCTATTGTAAAGTCTTTTTATGCAATTTCAATGTGAAAGGTAATTTTTCACAGGAAAACTTAAATTATAAAAAAAATCCGCCGTGATAATTATGTTTCCGTGAGATTTTAAAATTTAGATATTATTGTTCTCTATCTTACTATTAGCCGAGAAAACATTTCGTATCATAAATAAAACGAGTTATTATCCAGCCACACAATTGATTCCATCTTCTTCAGTAATCATTATTCTAAACATTACTAGTAATTATAGTTTTTTTTTTTGCTACCATTTATTTTCTGAAATCTATTGTAAAATTTTTTATCAAATTTCAATGATGTAAAAGGTAATTTCCTCGGAGATAGTATTTATGTACACTGAGATTAAAAAAATCCGCCGCTTTGCTGTTGGACACAATTGATAATCATGTGTCTTCCTCACTTTGGAAAATGAATTCTAAATCTATATATTGCTTTATAAATTTAGTAAAATTAATATTTTAATTTGCATTGTTCACATAAAATTTCTAAATTAATCCAAATAATTTTTACATTGATAAAGCGAAATACTATAAACAATATAAATCAATTAAGGATATAAAGAGATCTTAAATTTGATTTTCTTTTTTTCAATTTCAACGAAATACATATAAATATTCTTACATATTTTTGAAAAAAAACAGAAACAAAAAACAAGAACTTGAAAATATATACTGTATATTTTTTTAAAGATGAGTCTTGCTAGAAAAATTTTACTCGGTATAAAGGGCGTTCAAATTTTACTTCTTATTATAATTATTATAGTGGGTTAGTATCGTATCTCTATTCTTCTCTTTTGATTCTCTTTACATCATCATGTATTAATGGGAATTTTATAATGCAATCTTCATTGCATATTTATAGAAATCGTGCAAATCGCCACCTACATTTCTGTGGTGAAGAAATACTTGGATATCGCGTCAGAAAAATATGATTATCTTAAAAAATATAGATCTTTCTACAATCCAACCACAATATATTTTACAAATACCAAAATGTATGCATCATTAAATAACATATTTCAATTGAATAATTTGAACAATTTGAATTCAAAATTATATAAACTAACTGATTATTCTTTAACAATTAAATAATAGTGGTAAAGGAAGCTCGATAATATGGGTATACGTTTCTGTGATATTTACATTAATTTGTATTAGTAAGTACTTTTATAATTAATTAATTCATTCATTATGTTATGTTATGTTAAATATATTCATATTTTTATAGTCGGATATGTTGCTTTCTTTAAAAAGATTTGGGAAAAACGAAACAAAATTTATTTCGTGGTATTCGAAGTGTAAGTTATTACTTTTTTTTTTACAATTTTTAGTTCCCACAATTTTTTTTAACTATCTTTAAGTTTTCTAATCTACGTATTCGTATTTAGTTTCTTCGTAATTTTATGGATTACCGAAGGTAACTCATTTATTCTCAAAATGTCAATTGTTGTCAACAATACTATTCTTTTTACCAGAAAAATATCTAATTTATTATATATGCCCAATTTATTTATTTATCAAAATTAGTATTGACCAATCTCGCTTGGGCATACAAAGGGAAAGATTCAATATGTCATCTTAATACAAAAGAGTATTATTATGACAATCTTGTAAATACATGTAATGCTTATATGGCTTCCAATATAGTTGGATGGATGGTCTTACTTTCATTCGCTTTTGCCGCAGGAATTTCTTGGAGAGTTCATAAAAAAGAAAGGATAGTAGAAAATCCCACAAGAATTGCGGCTAAGAATAATATGACCAGTATTCAACAGCAACCATAATTTGGGAAATAACAATAAATAATAAATGCTATTGGCGGTGGGAATTAAATTATTTATATGCACACAAATAATAATCATGTACCTCATTAATAAATAAATAAAAATCATTTATTTTATTTCAAAAAAAAATTATTGCAGTATACACCAACATGACAAAAGTATCCGGACAGTTGATTTTTTATTAAATTAATTAATATATTTCAAACATCAATTATAACACAACGAATAATCTAAA